ACTGCTGGGCGCTGGAGGCCTGGGGGGAAGGGGTGTGGGATGAGTACTGCTGGGTGCTGGAGGCCTGGGGGGGCAGGGGGTGAGTACTGCGGAGCGCTGGAGGCCTCGGGGTGGGTGGAGTGAGTACTCTAGAGTGCTGGAGGCCTCGGGGTGGGTGGGGTGAGTATTCTAGAGTCCTGGAGGCCTTGGGGGGCAGGGTGAGTACTGCTTAGCGCTGAAGGCCTGGTGGGGGGGGCAGGGGTGAGTACTGCTGAGCGCTGAAGGCCCGGGGGGTGGGCGGGGTGAGTACTGCCGAGCACTGGAGGCCTGGGGGCTGGCGGGGCAGGGGCCTTGAGCGCAGCCTGAGCAAGCCGTGCTGGGCTGGGACTGGAGGCCTGTGGACACAGCCCGCGGCAGCCGGGCGTTCTGTGGCTATGCTGCAGGCAGAGGGGCTTCAGCCCCCAGGGTGCGGGCTGTACCACACAGGAGGCCCTGCCATTCAGACCCGTCTCTGGGGGTCCCCGGCGAGGGGACAGTGCGATGCTGCTGGGAGCAAAGGGTGCAGGCTAGAGGCTGGGGCTCAGTGCTCAGCCCCATCTGGCCTGTCCCAGGGTCATAGCCCCCACCCCTAGAGTGGACCCTGGACCCTCAGCTGGTGTGGGTTCAGCACCTCCCGCTGAGTGGACCCTATACTCTGGTCCAGGCACGGGCTGGGTCACCTCCTGCTGGGTGGTCCGGGTGTCCATACTCTGGGCGCCCTGTCTGTGAGCACACTGCGGGCGTGGGAGCGGCTCTCTGGAGTGGCCTGGCTGCCGAGAGAAGGCCTAACCTACCACACACAGGCCTTTGTCAAAGCTCGGAGTGGCCGTGGGCAAGCTGAGGTCGCCAAGCCTGTGTCAGCTTCTGCACTTTGAGTACGAGGGCAGTCGAGACGCCTGACACGCCCTCGACCCTTCTTAAACGTGCTGAGGACCAGGACGCCCAGCGCACAGTAGTGGCAGAAGACCCTTGCCTCGGGGTCCCCTGGTGTGCACAGCCCCGGAGGGGATCGCTGCGGGGGGCACCGGCCCTGACCGCTAGATGGCAGTAGCGCTATTGGGAAGACACCCTATAGCCCAGGGGCTGATTCTGGGAGTGAGAAGGCTGTTTGTGGAAAGGCTGGCGGGAATGGCTCCTTCTCTGAAAAACAGCCACATTTGTTGTTCTAAACAGGGGCCCCCTAATTATTTGGCCTAATATTTGCTGTGTATAAAACCAGCCAATCCGGGCAGTGTGCGCGGCCATTGGCCTTATAAAGCCCTGTGTGTCCTGGCGTGAAATCGGCCACCATCTGTCCCCGGCGTGGCATGCGGGTTGACATCCGTGTGTCGGCATCCGCCACCAGCCACTTCAGGAGGCGGGCTACAGTTACAAGTGGCTTTTGAGTCATCTGAGCCCCTGCATTTTTCTTGGGGCCCCACCTCGGCCGTGAAAGCTGACCTGAGCGGGCCCAGACCGGGTGTCTGCAGCTGCCGCTGTGAAATCGGGGCCGCGAGAGACGTGGCCCAGCAACTGGGCGCAGCCGTGTCCCGCGCCGGCCTTGCAGTTCCAGAATTAACGTTTGTAACATGCCCCCCACCCCCACCCCGCCTTTGAACCGCCCTGGAGCTGCCAGGACATTCAGTCTCGTCCCCGCGCAGTCCCCTGTCCCACTTCAAAGGGGACCTTGGACTCAGAGGCCCCTCTCGGCCACCCGTCCATGAAGTGCTTCCTCCCAGGGCTGGTGCTGGGCCCCCCAACCGGGCTTCTAATAACAGAGCAAATTGTAACACGCGCAGGGGCAGTCAGAAACACAAATTAAATTATCAGATTTATTTTGAGCTGGCTGCTGCGGAGAGGCGCACGCCCGCGCCCCGGGAGTCCCACATGTTTCCTCTGACGGCCTGAGTCCTCTGCACTCTCGAAAGCACCGCAGCTACCCAAATAACAAAGGGGCTTTGACCCCCCCGGCCATGGGCCGCCCGCAGCAGCCAGGTTGACACAGAACCACGTTTTAACGACGGTGGGGCGGGCGACAGCAAGTCCGAGAACGGGCTGCAGTGGGCAGGTGGTGGCGGGGAGTCCAGGGTGCAGACAAAAGCCGGAAAGGCCGATGCAGGCGACTTGGAAGCTGGGAGTGTTTCTGACTTTTTATGGGGCTGTTTTTCCCCTTTCCTGTTGTGTTCCACCGACCAGCCTGCTCCTCTCCTTGGAGGGCGAGGTTGGCATCTCTTCCAAAGTCAAAGGTTACTCTCGCTAGAAAGGGGACATGCCGCGAGCCTGTTGGTGCCTGTCGCCTGGACACCCACAAGTGGCTTTTGTCTGTAGCGAGAACCCGGAGCTTCTCCCTCAGGCCCGTTCCACGTTCCCCGCAAGCCGTTGTAAACCACCACCTTCATATTCATACTTCAGAATGTCATCGGGGCTCCCCCTGCCTCGGCTGACGGACGGAGCCACCTCGCCGTGTTAAACACAAATCCCCCCTCTGGGCAGTCACCCTTGCATGCAAACTGCTGCCCTTTGGTATTTCAGAAGAGACGGGAACGAGTCCCCGCGCTGTGTAAACCGATCCTGCGCCAGCAGCTACCACGCGTACAGGCGCCGCCGTTCGTGGCCCAGCCTCGCGCTCCGTGCCGTGTGAGCGGCCTTGACAGACCACCGCCCCGTCCCGGGCTGTTTCACATCTGGCTTGGCCGCCCGCCCACAGCCGCATTGCTCCACAGACGGGGGTCTCGAGAGCTGGCCACACAGTCCCGATCTGACTTATCAAAACTTTCCAGGTCTGGGCAGCCCCTCCGGTCTGCTCTACCTGTGCAGAAGTGTGGGGACCGAGAGGGTGGCCGGCTTCTCTCTGCGCTGTTTCCTCCCTGCCCTCGCTCCAAATCTCCGGAGCGGCTGACTCATATTTCCAGATGGAAAAGGCAACTCGGGTCTGTAGGGCCCGAAAGAGCAGTGTCCCCCCTGTGGGCCAGCAACCAGGCCGGCATCTTGACCCCTTGGGGTCAGGTGGGGACCAGGCCGGCCCGGGCGTGTTCTGAACTGTCAGTGGGGACGCGGGGCCAGTGAACATGCAGAGCCATCCCGGCTTGCGGGCTGCTGAGGTGGGCGCTTTTTTGTCTGTTACGTGCATTTCTCTGAAGGCCCTGAGCTTAGGGGGGCCTCTAAGGTGGTCTGTGGGGTGGGGGCGGCGCCCACACCGCGTTGGCATGCTCTCTGCGGGGTTTCCGCGTGGTGGTCTGCCCACGGTGGTGGCTTTGGTGGGGCCACACCAGTGCCGAGGGTCTGATAGGGGAGGGCATTCCTGAGGGGGTGAGGGGCATGGTTTCCTGCCACCAGATAAGAGCCTGTCCCTGGCTGCTTGTTGTCCAGGCAGATACAGCCAGGACGCGGGCCTGCTGGCTGGGCCACCTGGCTGCAGAGATTTTATCACAGACCGGTCAGGCAGGGTGCGTGCAGGGGAGGAGGCGCTGTGTCTGCCTGTCCTTGTCAGAGAGGGTGTGGCCGGCTGCCCCCACACACACACACACACCAGCACCACCACGGGGCATTTCTGGAAGGGTCGGGGAGCAGGGTACCGGCAGCCGCTCTCACGGGGACCCCCTGTGTCCTCGGCCGTCACCTGTCCCACCAGTCCCACTGTGTATCTCATCCCGTATCTGTAGGCCCACGGACAGACCTTCAGGTTCCCCAACCTGTTTCCGGAGAAGGAGCAGAGCCCTGAGCGCAGTGCCCACCTGGACCTGCAGGACCAGCTCGTGGAGCAGCAGCGGCAGAGCAGCGACCCCCGGCGTGGCAGCGTCCCTGCCTGGTTCAGCCTGTGACCGGGACCCTGACCTGCCCGGCACGTGGGTGGCCCCAATAAAAGTCCCCTTGTACAGAAAATGAGCCAGAGCTCCATCTCCTGTTCCTGGGCACGCTGGTCTGCGGCCCAGCCACTGCCTCCCCCATCGCAGGGCTGAGGCTACATCTGCGCTCCTGCCCAGAACCCTGCTGGCTCTCCCCTCGGCCTGCTCCTGCTCAGGCCCGGCTGCTTCATGCCGCACAGGGTGGGAGGGCGAGCGATCCATCTGATCAGGACAGGACAGCCACGTAATTCTCGGACTGTGAGGGGGCTCAGAGGGCTGGGTGAGCCTCGAGGCGAAGCTGGAACCCGCAAGAGGGCACGGGCTGGCCAGCAGGGATGTCAACCCTGGTCCCGCCCACAGGGAACCCCCATTCTAGGTGGGGAGGTGGGGCAGGCCCCCAGAAAGCAGCTCCTGGGGTCCACGTGGAAAGGCTTGAGTCCAGGCAAGAGGCAGCCCGAGGGGCAGCATGGTGTCAGTGTGAAAGCCAGGGGCAGGGATGGGGGCAGGGACAGGGGAGGACAACAGAGCAGGGTCAGATCTGCGGCCCCTGCATTGGGGGGGCGGCGCACGGAAGAGGTGGGGAGAATTTCCGTGGACAGCAGCCGTGGGGCTGCTTGAGGGGTAGACCGAGGCAACAGTGCAGGCCAGGCCTGGAGAGGTGCTGGGGCTGAGGGCAGAGGGGAGAGTGGTCAGGGAGAACCTCAAAATTGGGATGGTTTGGTAGATTTAGAAGGACCGAGCAGAGAAGAAGGGAGATTGGAGGTCCGTGGCCAGGGCTGGGCCCCTCTCTCGCTATGACCAGTGTCCGTGTGTCCAGGTGCACCTGCCTCGCCCAGCCTGGGCCGTCGCCTGCCCCAAGAGCCACTGAGTGCTGCCGGGAGACCCCGCTGGCCGCCTCCCAGCCCATCCCAGAAGCCAGGCCCAGTGGGCGGCCGCGGCCCCTTCCTGGGGCTCACCCTTGGCCGCTGGCCTGGCCAGGGAGCGCCCCTCACACAAGCCACCCACCGCTGGCGGCCCTCCTCCAGCTCCAGATGCTGAGTCAGCTTTCCCGAGGAGGCCGGCGCTCCCCAGACACGGAGGTCTAAGCCTTCCTCCCGGGGTCCCGGCGGGGTGGCCGGGGAGGGGAGACCCTGGGCTGCAGCAGCGGCTTGTCCTTGGTGAGCTCGACGAGCCCCGGCTGCTGCATCCTCCTTCTAAGTAACCTTCCTTGGTTTTTTGTTTGTTTTTTAAAATACACTTTATTCTTAGAGCAGCTTTAGGTTTACAGAAAAACTGCAGAGAAAGTGCAGAGTTCCCCCTCAGGCACACAGTTCCCAGATTATCGCATTCCTGGGATACGTTTGTTACAACTGATGAACCAATATGGATACATTATTATTAACTAGAGTCCATAGTCCATGTGAGGGTTAACTGTGTTACACAGTCCTGTGGGTTTTGACAAATGCATGTTGTCACGTGTCCACCATTACACTATCCTGCAGAAGAGTTTCACTGTCCCCCAGATGCCCCTGCTCTCCCGTTTGTGCCCCTCCCCCGAGCCCCTGGCGACCACCTATCTCTTCACGGTCCCTGTAGTTTTGCTTCTTCCAGAACATCACGTAGTTGGAATCGTACATCACGGGGCCTCTTCAGACTGGCTTCTCACTCAGCCATGTGCATTGAAGGCCCCTCCACGTCCCTCTCACTGTGTCCTACCCCAGAGAATGCAGGGGCCCCGACGGGAGCGGCCCCACCACCCCCACGTCACTGCGGGCGGCAGCTCTGACTTGGGACCAGGGACCCGGGCGTGGTTTGGGACTCACTTGGGCCGTTCAGTTGTCTGCGCTGTCCTTGCACCCCTGACCACAATGCAGCAGGACCTCTGATGTCTGCAGGGCAGCCCCGGCACCCCACCCTGCTGCCACAACCCCTCAACTGTGCAGACAGCGGGGTTTCATTTAAACCTTCACGTCAGATTGGAACCAGGTGTGAGGTGTGGGTGCTGATTGTGTTTAAGCTCTGCTCTCAGTAGAAGCCATTCTGACTGCCCCCTGGCTGGCGGGGGGGGGCCACGGAGCTAGTCACCTCAGTGGGCCGAGGTTTGGGGGGCCGACAGGTAGGACGTCACCAGGACAGTGGAGGCCCAGCCCTGCCCCCCGTGGTGTCAGGCACGTGGCGATTGTAAAGTGGTGTGCTCGGCACATCAGGGTGCTGGGGAACAAAGGCAGGGCCCCCAAACTGCATTGGTGACAGAGAAGGCCTTGTCCAGTCCTTCCGGGTGGTTAGGGCTTGCCACGTGACCAGGTTAACAAGGTGGGCTGGGGTCCAGGTGGAGGCCGAGGCTCGGATCTGGGGGCGTCTGGGTTCTGCAGCTGTTCTGTGGGGTGGAGCCCTGTCATGGACGGACGACGTGGACGATGGACAGATGGCAGTGCCACAGCGGGTGTGCAGGTGGCGAGGGGCGCCCCAGCAGGACAGGAGGACAGCTGTGGCCGAGGGTGCAAGTGGGTGCCAGAGCGGGCCAGGAGGAGATGGGGTGATGGGCTTGGGGGCCACCTCGGGGCAATGTGGAGGGGACGCAGGCCAGCCGGCGCGGGCTGGGTGTGTGCTGAGATGCCAGCAACATGGCCGCTGCACGAACGTTTGTCCGAGGACTGAGACCGCGTTTGGTTTTAACTAGAACAGCAGAGAGTTCCTGTCAGCATTGTGAATGAGTGTGTGTGTGAGACTGGGGAGCATATCTGTGGGTGAGTGTGCATATGTATGGGTGTGAGCTGTGTGTGTGACTGTGAATGTGTATGAATGAGTGTGTGTGAGGGGCTGGCTGCTGTGAGGGGGGCCTGGAGCCATGGGGGACACGAAGGACCTTGGGAGCCTCTTGGGCACCCGCCCCTCCGCCCCTCCTGAGTTCCAGAACCCTGTTCCGGAACACTGAGCTGCGGTGGTCTGAGGCCCACAGGGAGGCCACTGTGACCTCTGACCCGCTCCAGGGCCCCCCCTCCCCCAGAGCTGCCAGCAGGGGGACGCAGCCCCGAGGGGGAGGCCGGCGTCCTTCAGGGTTGACTGAAAGCCCTCGGAAGGCCAGGAAGTGGAGCCGGAGAGACGGGGTCACTATGTTTTCCTTCAAGAAATAATTCATGGGCCACGGCCTCGGTCCTGACTCGCTGTGGGCGGGGGAGGGGAGGCCCGTTCTTCATCTGAGGCTCCTTCAGACCCGCCAAGGTCACCCCTCCATCATGGCTCTGCCCGCTGTAGACGCCCCACACAGCCCTGACCCACACAGCCACCTCCTTGTCTGCTTGCCCATCAGATCAGCCCACCCCTGCCTGCCGTGGTGGCCTTGGCACCCCCTCTGGGGAGGAGGGGCCTGTCCAGCCCACCCAGCAGTCTCCCCAGCACCCCACGGAGCCTGGGTGTGCGGTGCACTAGGCACCCCTGGTTTAGCGGGAGTCACCTGTGTGGACAAGGCTGCCCCCTCCCCCTGCGAGTTCTCACTGAGGTCCAAGACTCCAGACCCTGAGGCCCAGGGCGAGGGTCCCACTCCCCCCGATGGCGAGGAGTGCTGAGCGTCTCCTGCCCCCCAGCCTTCGGCTGGTCCCCCTGCCGCCGCCAGCTCTTCCCAGGAGGGGCGGAGGGGCAGGGCGCAGAGGGAGGCCTTGTCCCCTGGCTCTACGTTGGCAGTCTCCTGGAGCCCGCTGCCTGGTTGGGCCCTGGGTAGCTGGGGGTTCCTCTAAAGAAGCGAGGGGGGAGTGGGCAGCTGCTCATCAGAGGCGTTGGCGGTTCCTCAAGCGGGGGGGTCACGAATGCCCCCTCACGCCCCACTCGCTGTGCCGGAGCCCAAGGCCTCACGGGGTCTGTTGGTCCGCCGGCGACTCTTGGGGCCCCCACAACTGCCCCCAGGCCTCACACAGCCTCATGCTGGCAGGCTGCAGCCCACCCCAGATCCAGAAGACTCCCCCCACCTCCAAGCTGGCGCCCGAGGTGACTCTGATCGCATTGCATTGGAGAAGGCAGACCCACGGCTTGGGGACGAGCAGGGGGCAGTGTGTCCCCACGAGGACTCCAGATCACGAGGGCAGGGTGGGAGGAATGAGTGGACAGAGAATGCTCGGGGCGGGGGGGCTTCCAGGAAGCAGGCCTCCGGATGGGCGCCTATAGCCACACTCAGAAGGAGAAGGCCTGCTGGGTGCCCCCTTCCCTCCCAGGGCCCGCTTCCTGTCTTGAGGGTCGAGGGGGAGATGAGACCCTTTTGGGGGCCCATCTCTGTCCCACGGAGCCAAGGGCACTTGTGAATTGTTTTCCGTGACTCAGTTTCCCCTTCTCTTGCAAAGCCGGAAGATGGCAGACCAGGCATTGCCCACTGTGCTAGCTGTACCCCAGGGGTTCATGCCTCTCCCTTCTACAGGGACCAGGGTCCTCCTGGCCTGGGCATTGGCCTCTCACTGTCCGCCCCCTGAGCACCTGGGCAGAGCTGGCCATCGGCCCGGCACCCCACATGGCCTGCGATTCCTGCAGAAGGAGCTTGAGCGAGTGCTGGACATTGAACGGCTGGCTAGCCGTCCTCAGGCGTGGCGGACGGTGGGAGAGGGTCCTGGCTCAAGGGGGCTCGGGAGCTCTGCCTCGCTGGTTCCCTGGGAGCCAGCTCCCAGGGGACAGTGATAAGGACACAGAGTGGGAGAGCTGACGGCCCTGCCGGCCGCGCCCCCACCTCTGTGCGGCTCACCCGTCCCCGAGTGGGGGTCTGTTTACTTTGCAAAAAGAGACGAGGGACTGAGGCAGGGGCTGCATGGGGAGGCGGGGGCTGCTTTCCAGCCCCTTGTTGGGCTCGGCTGTGCCAGGGCAGGACTCGCCTGTCCCTCTGCTCTGTGCCGGTGGGTTAAAGCTGTGTGGCCACTGCAGCCCCTGGTCAGGGACAAGCTGCCCCTATGAAGGGTGGGGGGTGGTGGGCAGAAACTCCCCCAGCCACCATCCCTGCCCAAGACACCGGCTCTCCTTCTCTGGCCAGCAGCTTTCTCCCTGGAGCGTCCCTCACCTGACCCTCGTTCC